TCAGTCACTGCTCTCCACTTAATACAGAAATTAATGAAGATCCACAAGAGGATCTTTCAAGCCCCCCCCCAAAAAAAGGGAAAATTCTTGGATCAAATTAACAAGGACAAAGTAATAATTAACATAAAAATATAGGTTCAGACATTCTTATTTGTCTTTGAGAGAATCAGAATTATTCTATTAATCTATTTTTATAGCTAGAGGGAGGAAACCACCGAGCAGATGGACTATCCCACTGACTTCAGGAAAACCCCATATGTTGAAATGGGAACTAACAACAAAATAAATACTTGTGGGTCTTTTTTCCCCTACTTTCTTTTTCTCTTTTTTTTTTTTTGCTGAAATATGGCTTAGCCAGCCAAGAATGTTTCTTTTGCAAACATCAAGGGGAGCTATAAACAGATGGGCAGACACACAAACAGACATTTTAAATTGCCTGAAAATGGTACTGCTTCATGGGTAGGAGTGGCTGGTGGCAGACACAGCATACAGTCCATCTCTCGCATTTGAGGCTTAGCAGTATCAAGGGGGGGAAATGTTTCAATTTGTCTGGTTGTGGTGTTTTTGTATTTTTATCTTGTATGAGTATTTTTCCTGCAAGTATACAACACCAGGCTCCAAGTGCAGCAACAAGCTAAGGTGCTTTAAACATCAGCAGAGCAATCTGTGCCAGTACCTATTCACCCACAGCACCTAACAGCTCAAGTAAAATCATCTTTAAAGCTTGCTGGTCTTCAAAGTCCTCCAGTTACCTACGGTGCCAGGAATGAGGTCAGGCAGCAGCATTAGGATATTAGGCATTAAAAGGCCAAATGCACCCGCTGCTCTGCCCTGGCACTGCGGGGCACTGATATTTATGAAGACGAGAGCTTCCAGGAGATGAGGAAAATATACCAGGAATACTTGGCATTGATGGAGCTGAATAGCAGAATGCAGCTGGCTTAATCACCTCTGTTTGTCTTTCCACTCTGTAAATGAGATGACAAAACTGATACTGTGTATTATTCTAAAGCCCTTAAAATCCTGTGAATATGATAAAGCACCTGCAGGTGCCGGTAAGTGATTTGCAATCAGGTCTGCTTTGTCTCCTTCTACCTTTTCATGTCATGGAAAATTGTATATAATACCCAAAAGTTAGGGTTGCTTAAATTAACATATTAACTGGCCGAATTTATAGAAACATTCATCTGAAAGCCATTTCAGGACAGTCACTATTTCATTTTCTTTTTCCTCACTAATCACAAGGCTGACTCTTTATTTGCAGTAATGGTGGTTTTGCTCCAGCCAGGTTTGAAAGAATATCCAGCAGGTCACATCCTAAATAATGCAAACTGCTCATGCCCTTACCTTGTGCAGCGTTTCAGATGGATATATCAGTTGAGGACCTCCTCCTCCAGTTGAAAATCTGGTCACAGTTAAAGAGTGTAGCGAGTAGAGTACGTGTAGGTGTCTGTCGAGTCGGCACAAGATACTGGTATTTGTATAGAGAACCAATTCAAATTTTGAACTCTAGGTGCATTCAGAAGATTTCTGTATCTCAGGCAAGCCAGACCTGGAAGACAACCTCCACAATCCACCCCCAGTAAATCACTGGGGGCTGAAGAGCACTGCTGTATAATCAGAGCACCGCTGTATAATCGGAGCACCGGAGGTTAAGTTGTCATAGTAAAACACAAAGAAAAAAGCATAAAAATCACCACTTGCCTTTATAAACATTCAGGGGTGTGTGAAAGTCATCATAAGAAAACATATTAACAAAAGAGAAGGGTAATTCTGGAAACCAAAACCACAAATATTTCTTACCACCTCGTCATCATTAAAATATGATAGTCTAAAAGAATCAAAGTCACACCCAATTTGCGGAACAGATTTCTCATCACCTATGAGGAACACTACAGTTCAGAGATTTGGGGCTGCAAGCTGAAAGAGTAAAATAGAAGGACATAATCAAAGAGAGCTGACAGAGCAAGGGACTAAATTCAATGCTTCAAGAGATACTTCCATGAACTTATTCTCCCCCGACCTGTGGCCCCAGCTTCTCTCTGACTTGAACAAGGCATAAGAAACAAAGAGTAGATGAGAGTTTCATAGCAACTACAGGGAAAGAAACAGCTCAGGACATGACAAGATTAAATAGCAATGTTAATAATTACAACTGTGAGTGTCTTTTTTAGTCCTGGGAATAAAGGAACGTCTTTCTGCTGAAAGGTGGCACTGCCCCTTGAGTGTCAAATAAACATACTCTCACAATTGCAGAGACAGCTATAAAATGTGACATTATTCACAGTTTGCAAAACCCAAAACAAGAGGTGAGAAGGGTAATTTACTCACCAATTAAGAAAGATGACAACACTTTCTGAATAGTCATGGGATAGCAATAAAACTTTCAGGTGTACCCCTGAAGCTTACTGGCTCTCCATGGCCCATCCAAGGCCTAAGATCCAAAACCTTGACCAGTCACACTCGACCTTCATGACTTCCATTTTAGACATCCTCTGACTAACTGTCCTGAGCACAGCAGGTTTTTTCCCTTCAAGGATTTGAATATGAGAATGGAACAGCTATGCAAAAGGCAAAAATTTGGGACACACACACACTGTTCCAACTTTCTCTTCACTAGGTTTTGGTGGCGGGAAGAACGAAACCAAGTATTATTTCATTTTATATGCTCTGTTTTGCAAACAATTGTTATGGTTTTGCTTCCCTACCCAAAAGAAGTGAACTTCACTCTCCAGGAGACTGAGGATTTGAATGTCTCTCATTTAATAAGTTGCCACCCCTCAGAAGTAGTATAGCAGGACGCAAAGCCACTGCACCACTGAGGTGGATATCAGAGCAACCTGTCTAGTTTGCACTGCAACACAAACTATCAGTAATTATATCTCTGGAAACAAAGAAGGAAAGGCCGCTGAGGGGCAGAAACTTACTGTACTGTTCACAAGTCATCCAATGCTGAGCAGAGAAATCGCTTTCATTCTTTTTGAAAATAACATGTAACATGTTGTTGTCTTTTGTGTGAACACAGCTTCTCGGTTTTGCAAGGACAATCAATTTAAACTTGCAATCAGATACATGAGGCTTTAGCCCACTATTTTTAGCACATAATGGCAAAGCTAATAGTGCCATTAATCCACTTTGGGATATAACATTCAATTACTACTTCAAATGGCATCTCAGTGCAAATGGTGGCTCGACACCTGCTGCCAGATATAGTCAGAAATTCATGATATTTAATGCTTCTGATTCTCAGATTCAGCTGAAACACATGGAAATCTGTAGCAATATTTTGACTGTGGTAACAAGGGATGAAGCGTTCTGAAGTCAATAATTATAAGATTAATACAGTAGTATAAGGCTGAGACTACTGAGACTATCCCGCAGCTTTGTGTCTTCACAAAGTGCCCAGGAAGGTTACTAGAAGAACTTTTCTCAAAATAAGTCTGATATTGGTGCACTCCCACAAATCCATCCTTTACTCTTGGGAATAAAGGCTTTTTAGGAGATTTAAGGGAAAGTATTCAAGAGCAGTTAGTTCAGAAAGCTTCAGGCTGTTGCAGGTGCTACCAAGGAAACCAGACTGACATCGAGCCCAGTCTCATGAGCTGAGTGACAGCATTTTAAAAAAAATAATAAAATTGGAAAATAAGTTTAACTATTACAATTGAACGTGAAATATCCTGCCCCTGAGGCCAGTGATGGTTTAGATGTTCAGTTAAAAATAATTTGCAGTTAAATTCCACGTAACTAGTCTAACGTAAGAGCTTAAACTCTGGCTCTTCTGGGATGACCCTCCTTCGCCAGTACAAAAATTCACACTTGTGCAGACTGGGAGAGTGGGAAGCAGAGGGGATCAACTTGCCAAAGCTTCTTAAGGTTTTAGGCTGGAGACTCACGGCACAGAATGCGTCGCGTACTAGAGACACACCTGCACTTTGCTTTGCTTATGAGCAAGCAATTTAGGAACCAAAATAAAAACAAAACCCAAAGCATTTTTGGGTAAGAAATGAAATCTCTTGGAATTCATCCCTGATAAAACCAGTATGACCTAGATGATGCATCAGACCTTTCAAGCATCAGACCAACTGGGCATTTATTTGTACCTGCATCTAATCTGTGCTTCAGCTCCCCCTCAAGTTATTTATCACAAGGTCAAAGCCTGAGTGAGGCCTTGTCTGGACTGAGCTCAGTGCTCATCTAGGTCATTCAAGCCAGGCAAGAGGAGCTCTGGCTCCAGGCAGGGGAACAGCAGTGGGGTAGAAGCCAGAACAGTGGCTGGGCACTCCGGACACACAGGAGCCTCATCTGCCTGAACAACCAGGCAGGATCCAGCTGTCCAAAACAGCCATAAAGTTCTGCATAAAATTCCTAGTCTTCTGGAGAATTTAAAGGCAAACCCATCCTTTTCAGTATCTGCAGAGGGCGCCAGACATTTTCGGATCTGCTGGTGGAGCCAGCGGTGGGGATGCTGTACCTGGTGTTTGGAGCTGTCAGTCAGAAAAGTGCTTGCTCTCTAATGGCCAATGCTCTGCACGGAGGATTAAGTAGGAGTTGTTTTTTCTTTCATGTACGTATAAATCCCTTAGTTCTCCTTCCCATTCTTGACACTGAAATAGCAAGAGATACGTCGCTGAGCTGCAACAGCAGTACCACATGATAAAACTCCCCTGCTTTTAATCATCAAGAGAGCAAGAACCAGCAATGTGCTGCTGATTATTTTTCCCTTCAGAGAAAACTGTTTGATGCCTGCAAGATTTGAAGCTTTCTTCCTTATGAAGCAGAAGACTGGCCTGTAACTGACACAAAACTTACTGTGAATGAGGATTTTTGGGTTTCTGCTCATAGAAGCAACTAAGGAAAAGTCCTGCATGACTTCATCTCATGTGTGCAGCAACAACTTGGAAGGATTTCTTTTCCTTTTTCTCCTCCCTCAGCTTTTTTTTCTTTTTTCAACCTGTTCTCTAAGTCCATAATCACCTGTGAATTTCACTCCTTTGCTGACAATGAATGCCACACACTTTGCATTTTCATTTCAGCCCATGCTGTTTAATGTCACTGAAGAAATCAATGACTCAATGCTGAACAGAAGTAGCGATGGATTTTGTGAGCAGGTCTTCATAAAAGCCGAAGTCTTCTTGACTTTAGGGATCATCAGCCTCCTGGAAAACATCCTTGTAATTCTTGCAGTGCTGAAGAATGGAAACCTACATTCTCCCATGTATTTCTTCCTTTGTAGCTTGGCTGTTGCAGATATGTTAGTGAGCATGTCAAATGCCTTGGAGACTATCATGATCTCAATCCTAAGCAACGGCTATTTGATAATTGATGACCACTTTATTCAGCATATGGACAACGTTTTTGACTCAATGATTTGTATTTCTTTGGTAGCCTCAATTTGCAGCCTCTTGGTTATAGCCATTGACAGGTACATAACTATTTTCTATGCTCTCCGTTACCACAGTATCATGACTGTGAAGAAAGCTTTAACACTGATTGTGGTCATTTGGATTGCTTGTATAATCTGTGGCATCATTTTCATTGCCTACTCAGAAAGCAAAACTGTCATTATCTGTCTCATCACCATGTTCTTTACAATGCTCTTTCTCATGGCTTCCCTTTATATCCACATGTTCTTGTTTGCACGCCTGCATGTTAAGCGCATTGCAGCCCTCCCTGTTGATGGGGTGCCCTACCAGCGCACCTGCATGAAGGGAGCCATCACCATCACTATACTACTTGGTGTCTTCATTGTTTGCTGGGCACCTTTCTTCCTTCACCTCATTCTCATAATTTCCTGCCCAATGAATCCATATTGTGTCTGCTACACTTCACATTTCAATACCTATCTTGTCTTGATAATGTGCAACTCAGTAATTGATCCACTCATTTATGCTTTCCGGAGCATGGAGATGAGAAAGACTTTCAAAGAAATAGTGTGTTGCTGTTATGGCATAAATATGGGACAGTGCATGCTGTAAACATCTGGCTCTGTGTTGAGAAGAGACAGAGGATACACACAACAGGAGTATGAATATACACATGCATCTTGATATGTATCTGTATACATTGATACTTCCAGCTTAAAAGCATTGTTTGAAGTAAAGGCATAGGAAAAAACAAAAAAACTACTAAATACATTGAGTCTTACTTTTCGAAATGAAAGCCAGATTCGACTAAGTTATTTAAAGCTATTTAAATAACAGAAGACAATCCAAAGTAGCTTACAAAATAGTTTAAGAAACTTCCCTGAAAGGGAATAGTACCTTATAGAGATTGAAATAATATTCTCTCTGCCCTTCATTTGTATCTGTAGCTTTATCTCTCTGCTATTATGAGTATCACTGTTTTCTAAAAGATTCCATTAGGAACCTCTGTGGAAAGCTATTCACTTGCAATACAAATCAAAACAACAACAGGTAACAGCATTGCTTTATACTTATGCCACTGCCTCCACCTTTTATTAAAAGGCTGGCCCAATTCACTCAGAATGTATGTACTTGTAAAAAACCTCTATTTGTTAGTGTTCTGTATTCTGGAACATGTTTTGCCATGATATTCAGGTTATATTGTAATTGGCTTTAATTGCATGTGATGTTCTACTTATTTATCTTTTTATATGACAATGATTCATACTGTGCTTTGCCTTTAAGCAAAAGGTAATGATCTGTTGAATAAAGCAATCTGAAGGTATCACTGAGAATCATGTTTACTTCTGTCAGACGACTATGCCATGTCAAACCACCTAATGGTCTGGATCACAAAACTAGAAATAAAGTGTAACAGAGCTCAAAACCCATCTAATTTTGCAGGACTGCACTCTAAGGAAATGCCACTGCAATCCTTTGCAGTGATCACTTTGTCCCACGACAGATCTTAACACTTCACTGGCATTCAGCCATCCTTAGTTCTCAGGGACAGGGCTGAGGCTCAAGTCAGGACCCAAAGAGACACACAAAGACTGAGACATTAGCAGAAGCCCCCCAAAGAGTATAATTTTCCCGGCAGCACACCCTGTAGATATGGTACATAGGGTAGAACAGAGATATCACAGCGACATACACTATTACAGGGAAGCAGTCATCAACGAATGCTGGTATCCTAGAGCAACATTTATATTTGCTCAGAATCTGCCCTGTTTGTAAGCTAAAATACAATCCGTTTGTAGGAAGAAATATTTCTTCCTTGGTAAGATACATGCAGTTTCCCCTAGCTAGTATGAGAAATGGCAGAGTGAGATAATAGCCTTTTCATCAAAAGGTGTCGTTTGTATAGATTTATTGATTCAGTATTTCGGCAAGAAAATTAGGCAGTTCATGAACACTGTAGGATTAACATTTGCTCAAAGACTTGTAAGAATATCCTCCTATGTTCAGACAAATATTTGAATTTCCAGGAGTATGCAACTCAACACAATAAATCTGCAAATTGCAGCCAGATTTGCATATTTCTATAATATTCACCACTATGCATGCAATTTTCCCATCAATTATTGTCTAAATGTTTTATAAATGAAAGTGGCCTAATGGATAATAGCAAAATCCAGGCAAAGAATTCTGCAGTCAACGAAGGTCATCAGTAATGTCATTAGTACAAATACCTTCATTACCTCTTCACAGCTATTAATGTGCTTCTATTTATTGAAGCTTGGACTGGGACAAAGGTTAGCTTCTTATTTTGGTATCTATACCTAAACCATTACAGTGATTTTTAAAGTTCACTCACAAAGGAATAAAGCTTCAATACACTGGAATCCCTTTTTGCTGGGCAACACATCCCAATCTATATTCCACACCTCCGAGACAGTATGAGAGAAACATGGTAGACTGGGAACTGCATGGTTACAGCAGATGCAACAGTTCCAGAACAGCTTTTTTCTTCCTCCTTCCACCATCCAAGAGCAGAAGTAAGCTGCACTCAGAGCAATTGACGTAAGATGGTCCCTTCTGAATAAGGTATAAAAATCTGGACAACGTACAGGCTACAGGGTGCAGAGCAGGGGCTCACATAAGCTTGTATCAGCAATCTGAATGTAAGCTCCAGATATCACTGCAAATGTTGCTACCAAGTCACAACAGGGCTCTGTGGTGTTCTCTCCTCAGAAGAGCTCTGAGTGCAGGCATGAACTTAGTGTTTTATCACTATGAAGAGAAAAAGTGTTTCTTTTTTCTTTTTTCCCCAGATTTCTACACATAATTAGTTACAGAATCTGTTGAAATAAAATCAGATGGTGCACACATAAGTTACTGAATAGTCTTTTTGACTATTGAATCAGTTAACGAGTTAGGAAAATATGATGTTCTCGGAGTTTCAATTCATCGTTTCCTCATCTCGTCTCAAATAATATTAAACTTGTTTATATTAGATGTCTACCACCCTTGACTAGTGTCTACCACCCTAGTGACACACTAGTGTAGTGTCACTAGGAGCTGACATGTCACCAGGTAAAGATTTTTTGTCTTGTATTAAAATAACCTTCTTTGCTAGATGACAAAACACTGTGCCAGATGCACTTATGAGGCTTATTTTTTCCAAAGGACATCATATAAAAGAGACAATGGAACATTTGCCTCCATGAAGTTCTGCTAACAATAAATTTATATCATTTTAACCAGAATTGATGGGCAGTTGTCCTAACTTGTGGTGAGTCCAAAAGGACGGAAAGAAGAAACCTTCAGGAGACACATAAAAACTTTATCATGTATTGTTGGCTTATTATTTTCCATACCCGAATCTAAGAGAGGTGAAATTATTGACAGTCCAAATATACAAGAAATATTCAAAATCAAATTATTATCTGAAAAGCAATATATGAAGAGATATGAATATTGTACCAGGCATTTCTGCTTTGCTTTGCTTAAGGAAAACTAAAGTTTGAGGCTTTGTTTTTCCCTTGTTACTGGCTTACAGACCAGAATGCTACTTAATAGCATGAGCAGAAGTATTTATGCATACTTGCTAGTTGTTGTTCCCCTCCTAAATGAACATGATTTCTTATTTAGCCACCAAAACACACTGCTGTTTTCATCTTTTATGGTTCTGTAAAGCTTAAGGAAGTGACCAGAAAAGATGCACTGGACCATTACTTAATGTCAAATACTGAAGTTAGCACAGTTGTCGGGGGGATGTTTAGTTCAGGGGACAGTGTTTTCCAGACAAGAGACAGCAGAATTTTGAGGGATAAGCTCTATGAGACAGTTTTTTCTTTTTTGTTTTTTTAAATGCTCTCCCTTTGGTAGTTCTACTTAATTAAAAATTATTCTGAGATGCTGAGGTAATATTTTACCTCTAAAGTTACAGGTAGTCCCAATTTGTTTCATAATCCGAATCAGAAAAGGCAAATAGCTTCCTAGGCATATGCACAAATATTGCTGTTTAGAAAATTATTTCATTGATATACTACCCACGTGGTTTATTTGGAGCTGGTAAATCAGAACATGTAACAAAATTTTTCAACATTATTTTTCTTTCATTAACACAGCTCTGTAGAGATCAAACCCACCAATTCTGTTAAACAAAAAGTAATTTCTGTAGGGGAGGAAAAGTCTAGAAATCAGCTCTATCTTACTGAGAAATTGTCATTGCAAAGTATATATTTTTTTAAAAAAATATTGCTTAGCATGGCCATGTTACTGTAACAAATCAATTTTCAAAAAACTTGTTTATACTGTGAACCAAAAGCAGCTTGCCCTTTGCGTCAGCACCTCTGCAATCAGACCCACAATTGGCTATACATTCATGGTACCTAAGTAGCTAAAATGTGTAATTTCACATGCTACGATCAGTAGCTCACAGTACAAAAATGCTGTTTCTTAAGAACTTACCCTCATCATGAGTTACATAAGTATATTTACATCTGTATCTGTGCATTTATACATATATATGTACAAGACATACATTCATTTTCTTTGAATGAGCCACTGACAACTGGAATTAACTGGTTTTCACAGCCATGTTTGTTCTTTGCATTTGTTATTTGTTTGTGTTCTTTTTATAAGAAGCAATCCCTGTTCTGCTGCCTGTCTTACATCTAGCTAGTTTGAATTAAAATGTGAAAAATAAATGAGAGACACAGATTTGCCACAGGCATTTTAAGACAAACTGGCACAAATCATCTTAAAATTTACTTAGGAAGATTAACACTACCTACTTCTTGTGGGAAGCTTAAATCTCATTGATTCTCTTCTAGACTCTGTCAACATAATCAAACTTTTTTCAATTTTTATCATTCTTTTTTGTAGAGCTACAAAATGCAACTCTTCTATGGGAGAAATTGGAAAACACCTTTTTTTGTGGCCAAATTTATTCCGATTGTGGGAACATTGAGTTCTGGAAAAGTATAGGATTTTAACCATAAGCACCACAAAATGTGGACTGGTGAGTGTCCCATGAGCAAATCCAGCCAAAGGGTCATTGCAAATATGAATCAGCATTTCTGAAGAGCTCAAAATCCTGTTTTGAAATAACAAAAGTGACAAGCATTTCAAGCAGCTCGGTACTGCAGTTTACGCTCAGCAGGGTGACGTGTGCAAGTCAGAGAGTATGATCTGGCGTTTGGTACGCCTTCTCTAACTGGCCAGAAGTGATTATAGAAAAAACAATATTGCTAGTGGTTCCTTGACATTCATGCTAATAAACTGTGGAAGGAAATCAAGCATTAGGAAGCAAAACAACACATAATTGCCATAGACAAGTACTGCAAAACAACCAATTTATCTGTGATTCAAATGAAAAATTACTATTACCCTGCCTTGATTTCCTATATTCTTTATCAAAACCCGTTATTAATCATATTCCCAGTCCAGACCCTAGAAATTACACAGTTTAATATTCTTAGCAGGAAGTGGGCATATTGACATAATAACCAAAATGTGTATTTTTTTTTAATAATTGCTTCCTTTCAAGGGAGGAAGGTTATAATCTTGAATTCAACTTTAACAAAAAACTCAGGTTTAAACAGTTAGATATCACCATGGGAACG